TATATATATATATAAATAAAAGGTACCGATAGATACCCGATAGAGGGAAAAAAACTACTCGATACACAGAGATATACCGTGCCTAATATATAGGGATATACTATGGCCAATTTATAAAAGATATGTACCCGATAAAAAAAATAAATAAAATCGAGTGCCCGATATATGAATGATGAATTTGAATAAAATATCAAAATATTAATGTCCGATATGAAACCGATATGGGTCCGATAAGTGCCCGAACTTCTGTATTTCGACCCCACCAATCGGGTGCCCGGTATATTACATAATTGTTGATATCGAACACCTATCGTAACCTATCGGGCTCCGATAGGCATATGATAGGTGTCCGATATTCCCTATTTCGACCAGTGTAAAGTTATTTCTAAAAATAAACAAAAAATATATTATTAAATAATAAGTCATATGATAAAAAACTAATCTTATTATACAAATAAAAAGATTAACCTTCAAAATTAATAGTTAACAGAATGATAAATTTCGAAGGATATTGTTAACAGTTCAATATCAATTAAAATTGTTGCAATAAACTTTAAAGGATATTATTAACAGTGCAATTTTAATTAAAATTACTATGATAAATTTTGAAGGATATTGTTAACAGTGTAATGTCAATTAAAATTATTACAATATAAACATATATGGAATATAATAAAAATAAATATGCTAAGATTTATGAAAATTTAATACAAGTGATAATTATTGAAATTTAATAAAACAATATATTATAAATATTTAACATAAGCAGATTTTATTGAAAATTTCCAATACAAATTACTATGAAATTACATGAAAATGATGATATTTACAAGATTTTGTTACATGAAAATATCAAAACTAATAACCTTCAAAGGTTAGTGAAAACCTCTAAAAGATAACATAATGATTAACAATGGAATATTTATATTAACATTAACTTTTGAAGGTTTTCACTAGAAAAAATTTCCTGATATAGTTAAATTATTCAAATTAGTTTTGATTTGTCACCATTACTTAGTTTAAAGACTGAATTTTAAAATATCTTAAACTTCTGAACTATTTAATTTCACTAGTCAAATACAAAAGAATCACTGTATCAAATGGTAATTCCTATACTATAGTCAGGTAAAAATTAACTGTCCTATTACATCTATATTATAAATTAGCTAAAATTAGAATTCCTTTTTAGTATGGCATATCTTTTGTATTTGACCTGTGTTTGAATTATTAAGATATAATATTTATACAAAAAATCATACAAATTATATTTGATATGTATAGAAAATATTTCTACACTTTAATTTTAAGTTACTGCTTTCAAATTACTACTTTGATTTCAGGTTACAACTACTTATTACTATTCTACTTTCAGAAATAGTTACAACAGGAATCTTTAGTACATCCCATAATTGAATAAGAAAAAAAAGGATTTTGTGGATTTAGTGAAAATGTAAATATTGTATTTTCCATTAAAAATAAGATAAAGTAAAATTCTAGTATAATATACATATACAAAATATATATATAAATATAAATATATATATAAATATAAATATAAATATATATATATATAATATAGACAAATTAAAATGAACTACAGTATTATATTATTATTTGTTGCTATTGTTATTATTGTTTTATTGATAATTTACAATTTTTCTAATATCTCTCAATTCTCCTAATTTTCAAATATTGATCATCTTGCCATTATTCCTCTTTTTTATATTGGGGGGATTATATATATATATATTTTTCATTGTTCTCGTTGTCATTATCAATTGTTCCTATTTTCCTGTTCATCATCATTTACCATGTGTTGCGTGTAGATTAAAATCTTTAGAAATAGTATCACCTCCTTTTACCCCTTTTACTCCTTTTTGAATTTTTCTATGTTCATAGTAATCCTCTTCAAGTTTTTTGGCATAACGGTGAACTACTACGGCGAGATAGATCTAATAATAATAATAATAATAATAATAATATAAAAAATAAGGAATTTTAGTTTAAAAAAAAGGATATACGTTGTCTGTGTGTTTTTTGTATATAGTACATAAGATATAATTTAGTATTATATATATATATATATATATATTTTTACATACTTCAAACAAAATAAGTATTACACCTAAAACAATATTGCGTATAATTCTCCAAGATTCACGATCTTGACAATAATCATCAATATCTGTTATTGATATAATAGATGTATCTGAAGTGCATCTCTCAATAGCAGTTTGTTTATTGGGAAATTGGTTGGTTATGGTAATTAGGGCAATAATAATATAAATAATTACGAAAGACCATAACATTACAGAGGATATACGGACAACCGCAGCAGCTTTCTTTCATTTAAGAAATAAAAAATAAATCAAGGTGAGAAAAATTATTATTATTATTATTATTATTAACAGCAGGTAACGTTCAATAAAGAATATATATCAACGCGTAATGAGAATATTAACGAAAAGATAATCGTTATCACTTACCAAAATTGAACCAATAATTCCAAACAAAGTTACCAATGTCGAAATAATGAAGGCAATACCAAAGATCAATGTAACGGCTTTCGCTAAATCAGGAGCATATTCTAAAGTATTTAAATTTTATTAGAAAAAAAAAAGATCATAAAGTTAAATTTAAAGAAATTACAAGATGAGTTGTAATATAATAATATTTAATTTTATTTTTTTTTAGATCGTTCATACCTTGCGGCTTTCCCAAAAAAGCTACTGCACCACCTATTGTGAAAAACTACAAAAAAAAAATAAAACCAGAGAAAAATTATTAACTTTTCTTTCTTCTTTCTTCCTTGTAAAGAAATAAAGAAATATTATAAATAATTATATTTGATGCATACTAAATTGATAGAGGCGAGAATAATAGTTCCCGTTCGAATCGAAGGACTAATAGTTATTGTTTTTATCGTGTTCATAATTTTTAGTCATTGGTAACAAATTTATATATAAATTCTCATTAATCATTTTTTATTATTATTTACTTATTTATTAGTTATCACTTTTATATATTTATTTTGTTTAAAAGAAATGAACAAAATAAAAGTTTTAACGTGTGCTTATTTAACAGGATCACGTGTGCAAGAGTTTACCTACCAGCAACAACAAAAGCAACATCTTTCTCCCATGTTCATTTGATTTGATTTTATTTTATTTTATATTATCGAAAGAAAGAAATTCAAATTAGTAACAGTAACGGTGGGGAGGTGAATAATCAACGTTAGGAAATAAAAAAAAAAGAAGAAAGGATACCAATAAAAAGAACTATTAAATTTTTTTCTCCCAGGTTTTCAATTATTTCGGGAGGCTTAGTGGAATTAACTTGATATATATAAATTATCTTACCGTGCGTGGCTTTGCCTAAATCAGTAGACGGAAGGAGGCTCAGGTATGTGATGAGAGATTTCTTCATCCGGCCGCCACATCAACGCAAGAAATTTAAAAGGAAATTTATTTATATTAGTAATTATTAGAATCGAGGTAAATAGTTGTTTTATAGATATTTAAATAACTTTACAAACATTTATTAATACTTTATAAATATTTTATACTTCTATAAATACTTCCGAATACTTCTATAAATTCTTTATAAATGCTTCATAAAAAAAAATACGCTCAAATTTAAGTGTTCAAGAATTTTATATATATAAAATAAATCATGATGTATGTATGTAAAAAAAATGTAAACTTTTATTATGTAATTAGAAAATTAACTTAAATGTCATCAATGCATTAATTCTATATTTGTATGAAATAGGATGAAGGTTTTTTTTCATTTGTAATATTCCGAAAAAAGACCTCTTAAATCAATTCCCTCTTTTTTTTTACATTGTTTCAAAAAAACAAAGACATTTAGTTAAAAATGGTAATGTGTCACCAAATAAAATCATATTCCCTTTATAATCACATTCAATTTATATTTATATATATATATATTTAGTACACATTTTAAAGAAATGACTTCAAGATTCTTAAATTTCCCTAAAGTAATAAATTTTTTTGGTACACAACAATATATTTATTTTAAACGTTCTTTCGAAACCAAAACAATCTTAAAAACCAAATTCAACAAATTGAATAATTTATGTGATAGTATTATTATTAGTAGTATTAGTAATAGTAGTAGTAGTAATAGTGGTGTTAGAAGTGATTTCAATAATTCCTCGTTGTCAATATTAAATAATAATAAATCGTATAAATCAAATAAATCAATAATTCCCACTTCAAAATTTGTTAAAAGAAGAGAATACGCGACAAACATCATACATACTCCACACAAAGGTGATAATGGAAATATTATGGGAATTGAGATCACAGATCGAGCTGTTAAGGTTTATAGTTTAATAAATAAATCAATATAGATATATATATATGTGTATATTTAATTAATTATTTTATTTATTAATTTTATTTTATTTATATTTATTTAATAATTTATTTTGATTATTTTGATTTTACAAATAGCAACTCAAACATCTTTCCGGTTCCGAAGAAGTTCCAAATAATGCATTAAGAATATCCGTTGAACCTGGAGGATGTCACGGATTTCAATATTCTTATGATTTAACAGAAAAATCAAATTTTAAAAATGAGGAAGATGTGTAAGTTTTTTTTTTTTTTTTCAAATGTATCTGATTATTCTATTAAATAATAATAATAATAATAATAATAATAGTAAATAAAAATAAATAATAATAATAATAATAATAATAAATAATAATAATAATAATAATAATAATAATAAATAGAGTTTTTGAAAAGGATGGAACAACGGTAATAGTTGATGAAATTTCTTTGGGTTTGATCAAAGGTTCAAAATTAGATTTTACTGAGGAATTAATCGGAACACAATTTCAAATTGTTGATAATCCCCAAGCTACTTCTGGTTGTGGGTAAGAATTAAAAATTATTATATTTCTTTTCATCCTCATCCTCATCTTTATCCTCCCCCCTCCCCCTCCTCATTATTCTCATTATTATATTTGGTGACACAATTAAATAATAATTTATTTTTGATAATTTTTAATAAAATCTAGATGTGGCGTTAGTTTTGAAATTAAAATATAAATTAACTAATTGAAGAAGGAGGTACGTTAAATTTAGATAATTTTCATCTTTTTCATCACAAGGACAATAGATTTAATTTTACAGGTAATTTTTTTTGAAATTTTAATATATATATATATATATATAGATATATTATTATTTTTTTTATTTAAATTATTGATAAATTTTATAAATTTTTGTAAAAATAAAGTGAAGATAATAATTAATAAAAAAACGTATCACGTGTGAAAATTATAATATATCACAAGAATGATAGTTACGTGTGTTTCCAGATTGAAACATGGTCTGTGATTTTTTTACTTAATTGTACATATGATGATAAAAAAGGGAGTTCATAATTTAACTTCATTCAGATATTCGATCTTCTCTCTTTTTTTTTATCTTATCTTTTTTTTATCTTATCTTCTTTCCTCTTTCACTTTTATCACAAATGGATGCAATGGACGCGGATCCTTGGGACGATTGGGAAGCGGCTGCTGATGCTGACGTATGAACTTTTTTAATGTTAATAATGTTTAATAATGTTATAATAAATAATTTTTACAATAGATATAAAAAAAATATTATAATAATATTCTGTTATAATAATATGTTATATATTATTATATTGTTGACTAGTTAGATCCAAGGCCGGGAAAAATAATTGACGACCATGAAAAAAATAAAAAAATATGGAAAGAAGCGTACGTATATATGAAAAAATAATATTTTTATATTTATTTAATATTGAAAAAAAAACTAACGTTTTTTTTTTATAGAAATGCTTATACGCAACCCGAAATCATTCGTCCGAATTCAACTCGAACGGAATATGTTCCACAAGTATTTATGCAAAAAATACCACTATTTGCTTGCTTTCTTACTTATCGCAATATATATATATATATTTTATAATTCTTTTTGTTTTAATTTAATTTATATTAATAATTCACATTATTTTGTTTTTTTTTCTCCCAGTTACGTATTTTAAAACGACCAAAGAATCCGGGACCCACGACCAATAATAATACATCAAGTAATCAAAATAATTCCGGAGAATCATCTAAAAAGTCATTTGCGGATCGTGAAGCTGAATATAATATGGCAAGGCAAAAAATTTTCGGACAGACTCAAACAGACGCAACCCCAACTCCCAATAATAATAATAATAATAATCATCATCATCATTATCAAAATAATAATCAAAACAATAATATTGACAATAATAGTAGTAATAATATTAATAGTAATAATAATAATGATGCTGAAGTAGATAAAGTAGTGATGATTGATAAATCATCATCGTCAATAACCGAGAAGAAAATAATTGAGAAGAAAATAACAGATAAGAAAATAATTCAGAAAAAAGTTTTCGGGAAGAGAGATATGAAGTCAACTAAGTTAGACCCACAACCTCCTAAAATAGATATCTTACAACCATCACGACCCGGAAGAAATTAGTTTAAGTGGGACAAGAGAATTAAAATAAGCAAAATATATTAAAACAAAAAAAAAATTAGACAACAGCTAAGTGAACTAGAAAAAAATATTATTATTATTATTATTATTATAATTATTATTAGACATGAATTTATTATTATTACTTTTTTTTTTTTTAGATTTAATTAATTAATCTTAGTTTAATAATTTACTACATCAAAAAAAAAAAGGAAAGAAATCTTACAATATATATTCTTTTTTGAATATATATTCTTTCTTTTGATATTCTTTTGAGTATATATTCTTTGATATTCTCTTTTTTTGGTAGATCAATAGAAAAGAAAGGGATGCCGGAATATCAAATGACTTGTTTCTAACAAGTCTGTAAATCTGTTCTTTTTTTTTCCCTTCAGAAAACCAAAAAATAATAATAATACATATATATATTAAAAAAACGTATTGTTTTTTTTTGAGGATCCGAAAACAATCTTCTATACTATGATATCCTTCTTTCATTGTCATTCGGTCCATTCCATTCATACTACTCCTGCTTTCTTTCTTTGATTTTTCTTAAAGTGATTTCTTCTTCTACAAGTCAAAAAGAACACGATCATCATTCGAATTCGAGAGAGAGAGAGAAAGATAATTCTTATCCAAATTCCAATGATCCAGTTTTTTTCTTTTAAATGTTTGTTGTACTTGAATTTGTTTACTGCGCTAGTTGTTTACAGATTTATTTTTCTCTCATTTGGTTTCTGTAGTAGTTTTAGTATTGGTAGAGGTAGTAGTAACAGTGATAGGAATAGTAATAGAAGTATTGAGAGTAGGAGTAGAAGCAGAAGAAGAAGAAGTGGTAGTGGTTGATGATGATAATTTGTTATTTTGTTCATTACTATTTTCTTGTTTAATTGAAGATCTTCTTAACATTTCAGTTAACAAAGACACAGAAGAACTTAATGATCGTGAATTTACATTTGAATTCGAAGCTGAATATGAAGAAGGAAGAGAAGAAGAAGAAGAAGAAGAGGAAGAGAAAGAATCTACAGAGATTCCAGAACCATTTGTAAATGAATTATTATTATTACTTTCAATAATGTTCTCACCATTACTTGTTTTGTTTTTAGTTATTATGATTTTGGGTATGTTTTTGTTATTATTATTATCATTATCATTATTATTATTATTATTATTATTATTAGAGGAACTTAATAATGATAATGGTGATGATGATGATGATGATATTATTGGATGATAATAATTAGGATTACTTATGTGATGCCTATCAGCTAAAACGGTATCTAAAGATAAAGCGACAACACCCGATCGTTGTTTTTGCAAATTAAGTTTTTGTTTGTTTGCCTCAAGTTTATTATTATTATTATTTTGTTTTCGTAATTTATGAATTGCTGGCCATTTTGTTGTCATCATAGACAATTGTTGTTGATGTTGATGTTGATGACGTTCATCATTTTGTAATAATTTTTCCAGTTTATTTAAAGTTTGAAATATATCATAAATTAATTTATGGGTTTTTCCTACTTGTTTTATTAATGTATTTACTAAAAAAAATTAAAATTTAAATAAAAATCGAATAAAATTAAAAAAAAAATTAAATAAATTTAAAATATGAATTAAAAAACTTACCAATACCAATTTGTTCTTGATTATTTTTTGCTTGTAATTGTGTAGAAATCATTGATTTACTAATATCTGCACAATAATCATCCACTGATTTCACTGTATCCATGACTATCCGCTTTTGAAACAAATAAAATTATTATGATTATTATTATTAATTCTTATTATTAATTAATAATAATTATTTTACCTGATCTTCACATATTTCTTCAGCACATCTTCTTATATGAGATTGATATCTTAAGGAAAGGTTATACAAAGATTCATATTCGAAAGATGCTAAATAATTATAATAATAATAATAATAATAATAATAATAATAATAATAATATTTTTGTTATGAATCTACACTCAACAAATCAATTTTTTCTTAACATACGTTCTTTATCAAGTTCTTGTGAATTGGAACTTGATCCCCATAATACATTAAATAATCCTATTTCGGGATGATGAGGTTTAATCAAAGGTTCAAACTAAAAAAATGATCATCATCATAATTATTATGATATGATTATAAAAAAAATATTTCTATTAAAATATTATTATTAAATTAAAAGAAAAAAAGAATTGTCTTTAAAATTACCTTTGGAATTTTTTCTAATTCCGCAATTTCCGGATCTAATATTTCTTCTTGATTTTCACCACTTGTAACAGTGATAATTCCCTATTAATATCAATCATCATAATAATATGTAAAATCTATATTCAAGAATTGAATCCTTCAAAATGCTGTTCCCACTATATATATATATATATAAGATATAAATAGATAAATACAGATAATTAAGATACCTTCTCTATATCCCGCTGAATTATTGAAGCATTATCATTATTATTATCAGAATTCATTAAATTCATTGTTAATATTTTTTTTTTTTTTAATTCTCTGATTATTTTCGTTATTTTTTATAATAAATAAATTTTATCTTGTAGATCATTCGTGGTTAAATATACATATATTTTAACACGTGTTATTGTGTGTTTCAAAAAAATTAAAAATGATCAGTAGTCCCTAAATCAAGTGGTCGTTTTTTTTTATTTTTTTCCATTAACTTTAAAATCCTTCAAGCAATAATAAATGGCAACGCCAAGTAAACGTAAGAATGATTGAACTTCTTATATTAATATCATCGTTGTCGCTTATTATCACTATTTTTTATTTTATCAAAATTATAATCTATATATATATATTTAAACCTTTTTTATTTTAATCTATTAATAAAAAAAAAATTTTTTTTATTTTTATTAGTTTATATCGGTCATTTATCGCAGAGAACTGAAAAAAGAGATTTAGAAGAATTGGTAAATATTTCTTCCACTAATCTGTTGTTGTTGATTATTATTATTATTATTATTATTTTTCCTTTTACTAATTTTAATATTCATAATAATAACAATAAATATATTATTATTATAAATATATAAAACAATAATAAATCTATTATTATTATTATTCTATATATAAAATAATAATAATAAATCTATTTTTTAAAAAATTTTTATAATCTAATAAAAATCTTTAAGTTTGAACGATATGGAAAAGTATTAAGTGTGGATGTAAAACCGATGGGATATGCATTTGTTGAGTTTGAGGTTAATAATTGAGTATTAATAAAATGGCATATTGTATCAGGAAGCTTGGTACGTTCTTGGATTATCAAGTTCGATTTAATCCGCACGTTGTTGAAGCGATTGCACATTTTTTGTTATGTACGATGATCACCCAGGATCCACGTGATGCGGATGATGCCGTAAAGCAACTTAATGGTTACGAATTAGATGGGGCTCGAATCGCTGTTGAATGGTCTCGTCGATCCGGTGGACCAGGAAGTGGTTGTTTTTTATGTGGTGGTCAAGGTCATTGGGCTAGAGAATGTCCCGAAGCAAGAGAGAAAGGTATGGACGTTAGAAGTGGTCGATGTTTTAGATGTGGTGAATTAGGTCATTTAGCAAAATATTGCAGGTAAGAGAGGGAGAAAGATTTCATTTTATCTCTAAGAAATGTCAATTATAATAATTATAATAATAACTAAACTTCAGAGGTGGTGATTATGACCGTAGAGCTCCTTCCCCTCGTTATAGAGGTCGTTCTCCTTATTACGGAGGAGGTGGTGGTGGTAGTGGTAGTGGCGGCGGCGGCGGTGGTGGTGGAGGAGGAGGACGTAGTAGTTATTATGATGATTACGATCGTTACCGTCGAATGTCTAGATCACCACCTGGATCTTATGGTGGACCTCAAAGCCAAAGTCAAAGACGTTCTAGATCTCCTCCTGCCTATAGACGAAGTCCAAGTCCTTACACATATGATTATCGAAGAAGTCCAAGTCCTTCTTACGGGTATGTTTCTGGAAGGTGACAATATTTTTTTTTTTTGGTTTATAATAAATATCTCTCTATCTACCTATCTATATCACGGGTTTTATTTATCATATCGACGAGTTTCTTTTCTTCGTCGTCATCATTTGTCTGTCTGTCTGGATTTTTACTGCTGGAAAAGTTTTTTTAAAATATATATATGGCAGCAGGATTTGATTAGATCGAGATAGTGTAAAGGCTTGAGGCGTTTTCTTTTTTTTTTATTTAAAAAAAAGGAATATATAGGAATTTAGGGCATGGGGCATCGAGAGATATGAGATGTGTGTGCTTGCTTGACTTGATTGATACTGCTAGTAGCTGACAATAAATATTCCACATTATTCTGGATTATAATATATACATTAGGCGCTCTAGAAGATATTAAGCATCATAAAGGAAAAAACAAGGAAACACAAGGAAAACTGGAGGTTGAACTTTTGACGCGGATTATCTATCTATCTGGACGCCATCATGCAAAAAAAAAAAATTTTTTTTTTCAGGATCTGGACGACGAATTATGGGAAATCTTTTATTTTTTTCTCTCTTTCTTTTTCCTTTTCTTTTTTTCTTTATTTCCTTTTTACATAACACTTACACAAATCATCTTATCTTTACAAATTCATATTGTCTATTTCTATTCTGTTCTATTATTTTGTCTCGGATTTGATTTTGGAAAACTACTGATCCGAGAAAGAAGATAATCTTTATTATTTTTTTTTTAATATTAAACTACTTTTTTTTTTCTTTTATTGTTACCATTAAGGATATTACTATTATATTATTGTTATTATATATATAGGCTTCCTTTGACAAAAAGAGAATAACGGAAATATACATATATAAATAGTCAGAGATTTTTAACTAACTAATTAATTGATCATTCATCATGTCAAATTCAAATAATAATAATAAAGAAGACAAATTTAGAGGAATTTTTTTATTATTGTAGTAAATTTTAGTATGTCATGTTAAATGTCGATCATCGGGATCAAATACAAATTTTTTATTCACACATCAGTATTAATTATTATTTACTTATTTAATAATGCCACCTCAAATACTAAAAACCGAATATCCACCTATTGATACAGACCCACATTTTAATCGTGTTGTTAGATATTTTCGACCTTCAGATTATGCATCTTGGGCGGCGATGACTGGTTTTGGACCTGCCTTTTATCTGTTTCTAGGTGAAATGAATGAAAAATAATTTATTTCATAATAATAATTATTATAATAATAATAATAAATTATTATCATTGCTTTTATTTTTTTATTTATTTTTTTACAGTATGATTGTTATTTAAAAAGAAAAAATTTTTTTGTTATTATTTTATTTTTTTTTAAAAAAAAAAGAAAAAACTGCTAACCAACCTCCTACACCAAGAATTGGTTTTGCTTTAAAGCTTTGTGCCTTTGTTGGTTTTACAGGTGGATTTTTGTTTGCTTATCAACGTAGTAGTTGTGAGTATTGGATAATATTTTAAATTTTTTATTATTATAATTCTGGATATTTTTATATATATCTCTTTCTTCTATATCTTTATGATTCTATATTTTTATTAATTAATTATATGATATCATGATATGATATGATACACACACACACACACATATATATCTTTCTATATATAAACACAATTGTTAGATAGATTTTGGGGATGGACTGAGAATTCTCGTGAATATGAAAAAGATTTAAGAGAGATGAGGCAAAGGGTGAAAGAAGGAAAACCATTATATGGAGAATCTTCATTAGATGATCATCTTCAACAATATGCATCTAGATTTTCTAGATATGCTGCATTGAATTTTGGTAAAATTATTAATTAATTAATTAATTAATTACTATTTGTTGTTTTATTATTATATTATTTTATTTTCTAATATTTTCATATATTATATATGTTGATTATTATATGTATTGTATGTAAATATATTAGTTGCATATCCAGTATTCAATTTTGTAAATCATAATTATCATGGAGTTGATACTAGTAGATATTATGAAGGGATTGAAGAAGAGAAAGAATTTGAAGCAGAAGAAAAAATAACAGATCAAACTTATTAATTGTTAAAAAAAAAGAAAGGTTCATTTATTTATTTATTTATTTCACTTATGGTTTGTTGAATTTTTTTTTTTTTTATATTATAATAAAAACTTAATTTGTACATAACAGATACATAATTTGTTGAATATAGTATTTATTTATTTGAGATTTGCTAATATATATATTAAAAATCCCCAATTCTATCTATTTATTTGAGATTTGCTAATATATATATTTTTTAAAAATCCCCCAATTCTAATAATAGATAAGTAAATAAGGAATGGATGCATTTTAATAAAAATAATAATATCAATTTTTTATGTTATATATTATATTTTAGATATTATTATATTTTATAATGCTTTCATTCTTTCAATAATAATAATAATAATAATAATAATAATAATAATAATAATAATAACAATAATAATAATAATAATAATAACAATAATAATAATAATTAATAAGAAAATACAAATCAAATTAAATCAGGAATCCACCAATATTCAGCTTCAGGTAATTCCCCACCGTTCTTAAATTCTTTCAAAATTTTACCTTCCAAAATTCTTTTACCTTGAATTGTATTTAATTCCAATCTTTGAAATTCCCGATTATTAAATACGAGACTTCGTAATTTTTCCATGGAAATTGAAACAAAAATTATTTCCAAATAAATTTCTTGTAATGAGGTAAAATGTGATGAAATTAAATCAATCAATGGTTCAGGTGAAACGTCGTATAATTTCATTGATAATTTACGAATTGGAACAAGAATTTGAGAATTATTTTTAATTTTTTTAATATCATTAATTGTAGTAGTATTGTTGATATTATGATTATTATTATCAATAGTAGTAGATTTGATTTTTTTGATATTGTTGTTTTTATTATTATTATCATTAATAATAAGATTTAAATTATTATCAATATTATCAATATAATGAGATAATTCATTTAATACCAATACTGAGAAAGGTTCATCAATTAAAGATTCTTTATGATACTCAAAAGAAATTTCAATTAAATTTTTACAATTAACCAATAAATAACCTAAAATTGATTTATCAATTCTAAAATTGGAATCAAATCTTGAGGAGATATCAATTCTTTGAATATATTGAGCGTAATTTAAGAGTGGTTTATTTATTACGATTTGATTGTCCTTATCATTGAAAAGATCACGAAATAATTCCGAACTCGATTCGTTATTAATATTATTATTTTTAATCTCGTTAAGATAATTATAATCATTGATATAATCATTATAAAGATACTTTTTTTTCTGATAAATCAATGATGAAAATAAAGTCCGTTTAATTTGTTTCCATCGAAGAGGAATTTTTTCAAGACAAGTACACCAATATGTGTCACCTAAATTTTTCCAAATTAATGAAGCGACAACACAAAATAATTTAGAATTTTGATAAAAACATGAAAGTAAATCGTTTTTATCAAGTTGTAATAAAATTTGTTGTAAAAGTTCAGTTGGTAATGTTGTTAAAGTTGTCATCTGCTGTATTATAAATATTTATAAGATATTATGGAGATTATGATATTAAGGATATTGTGGTTATTTATAGATGTCGTGGATGTTATAATAAATTAATGTTGATTTTAATTTATCAAAAATTGGTGGAAAAGGTAATAATGAATGAAAAAAATTCGGGTTGTCGCGTCGTTTAGTCAATGAAAAATTTACTAATTAAATTTGATAAATTAAACTATCACATGACAGACCCAATGAATGGGTTAAAAGTGCGTAATGATAACCGATAGTTAAAAAAACGTTATCATAATGTCAGGATCAAATCGAGCTCCATATACTTACGATTCTTCAGGATATAATCCTTCCTCTTCAAATGGTGACCAATCTCAGCCATATTATGGATATGAATACTCAAACTACCCTTCAAATAGTCAATATTCAAACAATAGTAATTCAAACGGTGGTGGTGGTGGCGGCGGCGGCGGATATGATGGATATGAGTACAATGGTTTATATAATAATTCCAGTAATTATTATTATTCAAATAATTCAGGTTCTACATCTTCAACAACAGCAGCAACTTCTACAGCAACTGTAGTTGAAGCTCCACCAACTATAATAAATAGTTCTTCTATATCATCTGCTTCGAAATCTGTAAATATACCGAATCAAGATCGAGGGATGAATTCTAACTTTCATGGTTCATCAAAAGATGAGATAATGGGTGGTACTTCTGAAATGCAAGTTGGTAATAATAAACAACAAAATTCTAAAAAGAAACAAAAAACAATTATTAGAGCAGCTGGAGGTGAAGTATGGGAAGATCCAACACTGTTAGAATGGGATCCTAGTACGTGGTTTTCATTTCTTTTCTTCTTCCCTTCTTCTTCTTCTCTTCTTCTTCTTATGATGATGATGATTATGTTAATATTTAATTAATTAATTATAATATTTTTTTTTGTCAGATGACTTTCGTTTATTTTGTGGTGATCTTGGAAATGAAGTTACCGATGAAGTTTTATATAAAGCATTTTGTCGTTATTCATCAGTACAAAAAACTAAAGTTATTCGAGATAAACGTACAGGTAAAAGTAAAGGATATGGATTTGTAAGTTTCAAAGATGCAGATGAATTCGTCAAAGCATGGAAAGAAATGAATGGTAAAATAATTTATTTATTTATTCATTAAATATTTCTTTATTCATTAAATTATTTATTTTGAAAATAACTAATAACGATTATTTATTTATTTATTTATTTATTAAATAGGAAAATATGTTGGAAATAGACCAATAAAATTACGAAAAAGTACTTGGAAAGATAGAAATATAGATGTTAAATCAAAGAAACATCATCCATACAAATAATAATAATAATAATAATGATGATAATGAATTTTATCAGTTTTTTCTTTAATTAATTTAATAATCGTAATTAATAATTTTTACCTGGAATTAATTACATGAATTTTATTTTTTATTTTATTTTATTAATCATATTGTAAATTAAATTTTTCTTTAAATAATAAATCATTCTCTATAAAGAAGTTTATATATCCATATATCTATAAGTAAACATGATCATTTACTGCTAGTTATAATCACATGATAATATTTCGATGATCAATAACCATTATACATAATACGCGTTCAACCATTAAACACGATTAAAAAAACGAAAGAAAGAGATTTGTAAATTTGTTCAATTTCACAAAACTATACAAAATATGTATTCATCAATATTTCCAGAAACCCCTTCAAGATTTCTTTCCTCTACTTCTACTTCTTACTATATTAATAATAATCATATTAATAATAATTCTTCAAATCAGTATGGAAGTAAAATAATTAGTAGTAATAATAATAATAATAGTAATAGTAATAATAATGATCGCGGTGGTTCCGAAACTCCCACAAATTCGATTATTAATTTTTCGTTTAAAAAAGTTGATTTCAATCGTGACGAAATAAGACAAAAGAATAAATTATTTGAAGAGGAATTTTTAAATTACATCAATAATGCTAAATATAATTTGTCCGTAAATAAACAACATTGGCAAAGTAGTCTCGCGTTGGAAAAAGGTAATATATCCCTCGTTTCAATAAAAGAAATATAAAAAAAAAGAAACGAGATTTAAATATTTTAAATATTTGATTATATATATATAAAAAAATATATGTAGGAAACATAACTAGATATTCGGAAGAGATCAAATCGGTAGAGAAAAAAAATAAAGAATTGATAGCAAGTGAGAAATATTTAATTTATTTAAATTGTATATGACATAGTCATTATTATATATAAAACTTTTTTAACTATTATAAATGTTATTTTATGATTTATTTATTTATTTATTAAGATCTTGAGAAAGAAAAAAAGGAATTATATAAAATACAACTTGAAGTTACAAATTTGAAAAATGAAGAAAATTTGAAACTTGAAAGGAAAAATAGTTTATTGAGACAAGTTGAAATTACGAAGAAAGATATTCAAAAATATCGTGATGGTAAAAAAACAAATAATAATAATAATAATAATAATAATAATAATTTTAACTTAAAGCCGACGGAATTAAAATAAATCTATTTATTTTTATTTATTTTTCATCAGTTTTGTCCGAAAAACAAATGGCATTAGAAAAACAATCAGCACAAAATGAACCAGAATTAAACCGATTTGAAGATAAATTGGCATTTACAATGGAAGGAGTGCGAGGTATGATCAAATAATAATGATAATTCTTGTTTTTACTCTTTTTTTATTATGAATATTAATTCCATTTGATCTTCTTATAGACGACGCAATATTATTCACATTCAAATGCATCTACGAGAATGATTCATCTCGTAAATGTTCATTTACTGTGGATGTAGGTGAAAAATATTCGGGTAAGTAAATAAAAATTTAAATTTGAATTAAAAAAATATTTCTGATATATATATATATAAATAAAATATTGAAATAATTTTGATTTTTCAAGTTATCGAATGTAATCCTCCATTGGGTCAAGTAGTATGCGATTTATTATCACAATTGAATTCTACACGTGATTTCTTCACGTTTATTAAGAAAATGCGACAAGCTTTTCGTAAGAATGCTTTAGAAGAAACGGCGGTGTGATGAATGAACTAACATTTCCTTTTCAAGTTTTTCAAGTTCTTTTCCCATTTCCATTCCTTTTCCTGTACTATCTTTTTTTTTTTTTTTTTTTTTATAAAAATAAATTATTATATAATATAAAAAAAACTTTCCTCGAATTCTTGTTATTTATTTATTCATTTAAAGAATAAAATTATCGTATTATATTCTCTGTGGAATTTCAATAAACAAAAAAATTTGTAATAAAACTTGATAAAATTTTTGAAATAATGTACACTTTTATTACTTTATTACTTGTTCTCCATTTCTATCACTTTATTGACTTTATTGAATATAACGCTTAGAAATAAAAGAAATAATACAAATAATACATAAAATAAATTATATCTCTATTCATATAAAAAAAAATTGTCCAGTTTTATAAATATACTTTCAATTGTACAAATCAAAATTTTATAAATCTTTTGAATATATATTAAATAATAACAATAATTAAAATATTTACAAATTATTTTAAATTAAATTATGTTTAAAGGATCTTTATCTAATTTACTTACAATTACTTCTATTATATTATTATTATCATCATCATTATTATTATTATTATTTTTATTAATTTCATTTTCTAGAAATGGTTTAAGTATTTCAGATAAATATCCTCTTTCAGTATTTGTATGTTCGCATAAGACAACACTTGTATTTTTAGTCAATGCAGCGAGTACATCATGATGTGACATTTCTCCAGTAAAATAAAGATCTGCTTCTACTGGTTTCAATACACTTGAACCTGAACCAGCACAAATTCCAACTTTTGAAATAAAATTGGTTGATATTGATTTATGTTTTTCAGCTATAGCAACTCTAACTATTAAATATAATAAATATTAAATATGATACATTATTAATATAAATATATTAATAAATAAAAATGAATACAAATGAAAAATGTATGAAAAATTAAATAATTGATATTAAAATACCTAAAGAAAGTTTCAAATGATTTTTTATATTCTTAATTACATCTAACAAATGAATTGGTTGATCGAAAGTAAAAAGTCTACCCAAGCCAGCATGCTCTTGTCCTATTTAATAATAAAAAAGAAAGAAAAGAAATAATTAATTAATTAAAAAATAATAGCTATTAATTATTATTATCATCGTCAATATATATTTTCACCTTCAGGAGGATTTTTTGCAGGTGTAATGGGTACACAAATTCCTTTTCCTCCAAGTCCTTTAGCCAACCAATCATTAATTCCTCCTATACAACTATCCATAGCAGTATGAGGACTAATAATCCCTACCCCTTTAGCTATACATTTCATTAATATGGCTTGTTTAACATCATCCATATTTAATCTATTAAATGGTTTAAAAATTGGTGGATGATATGATACAATTACTCCAACCTTTGAATCTGTCAAAGCTTCTTCTAATACCGTGGGAGTTAAGTCTATAGTAAGGAATACTCGAGATGCTGAAATTCTCGGGTAGGGAGGTTCTACTAGTAAACCTACATTATCCCAAGAAGTTTCGGCAAGTGATAATGGGGCATGTTTCTCTAATGCTCGCATAACGCGTGAAAGTAGTGACATGATTTCTCAATCAAGTCAATTTGAACACTATCTGATATCAATGTGTCATTTATAGGGGTAAAGAAGAGTCCATCAGTTCATCACGTGATAAAAATCACAAGAAACGTCACATGCAATATATGATTAGGAAATGTTCACGGTTAACAAGAAATAAAAATTTGCGAATTTATAGGTATGTACGGTACGAAATGCTATTTTGTACTGTACGATTTTATATAAATTTTTGCACAAAATTCGTACAATAATATATATATTATAAAAATCTAA